GGGACAAAAGGTAAACTGCAGTGTAATGTTCTGTTGTTGGGTTTATTAGTATCAATTTTGTTTGTAAGTGGAGTTTTGTTGTGGTGAATGTTGGAGAGTTTTTGAAAAATAGCTGGTGGAAATTTGTTCGTGTGAATGAAGGAATGCTTTATGTAGTTTATTTCTTCCTCTATATAGTCCGTTGAACAGAGTCATGTGGCTGTGTTTATGAGGTTTTTCAGTGTATTGATTTTTTGTGTCATGAGCAGAATTCCAGGGGATGTAGAGGCCGGTGTGTGTGTTCTATGGTGGATTTTGGTTTTAAACTGTGTCCGATCCAATGTGTATTTGAATTTAAGGCATCTTTAAAAATTGAACCTGCAGATGTTACATATGGTGTGAGAGCCCAGGCTATGTATTTGCCAAGATTGTAGTTGAAGGAATCATATGTGGACAGTATAGGTCGTAGGGAGCAGTCCTGTTTGTGTGGTTTAGGAATGCCATAGAGTTGTGGTGTGCGTGAATCAGTTTTACGTAGATAAAAATAAAGATCGTCAGTAATTAAATTACCTTTCTTCATTTGTAATAAAGTTGTGTTTAGTTGTTGGGTTGTTTGGGATGGCTTTGAATTTCTTTTTATCGGAAAGGATGTCGTTCATTTTGTTGATGTATTCCGAGTTGTTCATGATTAGTGGTGTTGTCTTTATCAGCTTTTAGAATTTTAATGTTAAGTGTCTTTTTTCAGATTATAAATGGATTTGATCTTGTTATATGTGAGGTTACTTTTCAATTTATGGGATTGGTTGACTATATTAATAGTCTTGTTCGAGAATCCTTTAAAGTTTTTCTTCATTACTCATTCAAGCTGTCTCCAAGCATTATTAGTCTCAAAGTGGGTTCCTTGTTATCGAAAGTGAATGAAAGTGTTCATCATCAGAGAGAAAAAACAAAAGTAAACAAGCACAAGTAAATCCTTACACAACAGAAAAAAAAATGGATGCATTACTCTAGCCTGGATTTAACATCTCTGTGTGGTTAAGTTGTTACTTGCTACTATGAAACTGTATTCATTTCAGTATGTTTTATCACATTTCACTCTTAATTAGAATGTTTGCACTTTACATTAATACACATACCAATTCCTATTAACTTAAAGGAACTTACCTGCATTCATAATAAAAACCTTTAAACATTATAACAAGTATTATTTCTATAAAACATTGTTACATTCCTGTTTTTAATTCGTGTGTGTTTGTGTGTATATATATATATATATATATAGAGAAACATAACAGTTAAATATGTCATGTTAATTTTCTTCAAAGATATTAATTTATTTCAGAGAACATTGCATTTGAAAATGTATACTTAGAGGTACATTAGATGTATTAGTCAATACTGTTTAACATGTTAATGATGAGAGAAAATAAAAACAGGATTTCTACATCAAATGTAATAATGATATTCAATATGTGGGAGTTTATGGACTCCATCACTAATGAGATGATATTGAGTATATGCATTATATATAACACGTAAAGAAAATCCATACACAATATCTTCACCCAAACCTGATTAAACAATTTGTTCTGATGCTAACAAGTATATTCAAATAAAATCAATCGAGTGGATGAAGCCTAATGACTCCTTTCAAGATTAATAATTTCATTTTTATTGGCCAGCTTTATGATCATGTAGAGAGCATTGTGACAAGGTCACTTTTGTGTAAAGTCCCTGTCAACCTTTGTGTCTATGATGACATTTTCAGAGGAAATATACATGGTCAATGTTATACATTTTTAAAAATATCCTTTATAAATAACCAAACAAACTATTTTTCATTAGCTGCTTTTCATGTCATACAAAATATTAACTAAATCTGTACTAACCTCCACTTTCTGATGCTGAAACAGTAGTACTTGTATTGGAAGATGTGTTAGTAACTGGAGCTGTAGGTTCTTCTTCGCTTGGAGGCTGTGAAGATTCAGGATGAGAGGGAATACCCTTTAGGAATTAAACAAAACAAGATATTTCAGTTCTACTAATTACTGTTTGCTTGATCAGATGGATATTTTTGAATCTCTTCTTATCAGTCGTTTCTTAATGTTCACTGCATATGATTAAGAAAAATAGATACAACTTGCAACCATAGTGAGTATTTCACAACTTACAGCATAGCTGCAAAATTATGGAATATAGTATTCATTTTTTGAAACCTAGAAATGAAACTTGACCAGTATTCAGTATTGTAAGACAAAGCAATGCTACACTGATAAGCCAGTTCAATTATTGTTAGATAAAGTACAAGATAAAATTATGTTTGTTATAAAAAGAACCAAGAGGAGAGAATACCTAATGATATTCAGTGGATTTAGTTAATTCATTAAAGTTATTATTTAACACAAAATGATTGAGGAGAGATAATTTGTTCTACAAAATACTGTTAGTGCTAAATTACAGCTTATATAACTGGATGTAGATTGAAATCTTAATTTTTAAGTTATTCTATTCTTTTTATTAGAAAATATGAAATTTAAAGCTAACTTATGCTTAGCAGTGAAAAAGGTTAAAAAATACAGTCATTTAAGTCTCCATTGGATGACAATATCTATCATCAACCTCTGAAATTTCTTCAAGAATTTTTTTAAAGTAAAAACACGCTGTCTTTCAGGTGCTTATATATTCATTATGTTACTTACTTAAAAAAAACAACTAACAACAACCTATGATATGGGTTTTGTTATCTGATGTAAGAAAATACAACTCAAATGCTAAGTTTAGCTCAAGTTTCAGCTTCTTTTAGAATTATAGAATAATGGTATTAATGTCCTATGTTAGTGTGTGTGTGTGTGTGTGTGTGTGTGTGTGTGTGTGTGTGTGTGTGTGTAGTAACGAACTGACTAACTAAACTAAACCGTCCGACTACGTTACTTACTTACTTAACTTTAACTAAAACCAACTAACTTAACGTAAAGTAAAGTTTAAGTT